CCTTCTAATCCCAAAACAAGGTCTAACCCTAAAGCCCAACATCGAATGGCCACCTGACTGAGTACGCGAGGCATACTTAGCTTGTACGCTAAGTGTACTGGCTCAAGGGCTTGTACGCCTAGCGTACTCAACCAAATCAACCACCTTCTACTTTAAGCACTTAACTAGTTAAGACTTCACCCCATAGTGCAGATATAACCTCATTAAGTTGAATTATCACGTAAAGGTACTAACTTTACGTCCATGTATGACCATAAGAAGCTCTAAAGCTTAAAAAGGACTTAATGAAGGAGTTAATGAGTGCATGAGGCCCCTAAACTCCATAAAGCTTACACCTTTATGCCTAAGGAGCCCATGAAGACCTTCGATATGATAGAATAAGACTTTGGGACGTCCTAATCCCAACATATATCCAAACCATGGCTAAAAACATAATTATTTAACCCAAAAAGAGATCTAAGCATCTAGCAACCAAGATAAGAACTTGATACCTCAAACTTCTTGAAAATTGGGTAGTGGTTCTGGATCCAAGACTTCATTCTCCAAGCTTAGCAACTTCAAGATCTTTTAACTCCTTTACAATGAACAAAATGAACACGAAACTCTCTTCAAATGCTCAAATGCTTGACAATGGAGGCTACAACTCGTTTTAGGGTTTTAGAGGCTTTAGGTGTTGGTAAAGAGGCCAGCCCCAAAAGATAAGGATGCTTAAATATGGTGCAACTTCCCAATTAGGGTTTCATTAAAGTCTATGTACGCCTAACGTATGCATGCGTATGCTCAATGTATTGACCTAAGTCCCGACTCACCACCAACCCAATACGCTACGTGTACCAAGTGGTACGCCCCACATACTGGCTTCTCAACCAGACGCTAAGTATACCAAGTGGTACACCCCGCGTACTACTTCAGGGACCAAAATGAAATTATTGAATACTCAAGGGTCATAAGGCACATACGAGGGCACAAGTGTTATGATTGTTGTGTGGGGTATTTTAAGGAACTTACTAAGCTTTGACTTACAATCGTGGCTTTAAATGCTTTAGATACTTCTGAGGATCAAGGGAGAGCGAAGGCGTAACTGTACACACTGTCCAACAATTTTCATGATTTTAAGAGATGTTATGATATGATACTCTGATTTTAATTCCATGTTGTAAAACAATTATTTTGATGGTGCTGGTTTCTATGAAAACGACTTTTATTTCGTTTTAAAAATTGAAAATTTTCACCATGGTTTTTGGGAGTTACAAGTTAGTATCAGAGCTCTGGTTTGAGGGATTTAGATGAATACTTGTGTGATTCCAAACCCAAACTAAGGATCTACAAAAATTTTACAATTATTTTTTTTAGATAAAATTTAAAAAGGAAAAAGAGGATGTGATGTGTAGAGTTAGCTATAGCTCAAAGGAAAGTGATCCCCCGAAGATACCTACACTTGTTATATGAATATCTGTTGATATGTGAATTGATAGAACTACATGCTAGTAAATAGGTTAAGGATCCTGATGAATTGCATGATGGGATTGCCTGATACTCATGCTACCTGGTAGTTTATATGTAAATTTTTATGGTGTTAAATTTACTAAAGGCGAAGCCTATATGTAAGTTTTATGAGGATGTATGAAAAAAATGAGGTACATTACCATAATTGGGTAATATGGACATGAATGGATAATAAATTAGGAGAAATATGTAAATGGAACTCAAACTTCCACAAAATAGCTAAATAGCTAAAATAACAACATCAGGAACTGAAGATGAAATCCTCTATATGATGGGTTTATGGTAAGAAGCAACACTGAAGTAATATAAATTGGTATGTGAAGTATATGTCCAAGTGATAATATTGACTTCAATGATGATATATTGCTTAAATATGCATTTTGGAAAAGTACGATGTTATAATGAAAATTTCTTAAATACATAGATTCACGACTTGAGATGTATGTGAAACATCCTATATATTGATGAGGTCATGTGATGTAATAATATGATGTATACTAGAAGTATTCTCATTCACCGGGTCCAATTTACATGGATATATGTACTTAAACCTTGAAGGTTTTAGGACAAAAGTAAAATAGCGTAATAAAGTAAGTATGAGACGACACGCCATATTCATGCAAGTCAAATTTATTAGACCACGTAATGTTTAAAGACTTGTGAAATATAAAGTTTGCTTATAATGACATGAGGTGTGCTAAAAATAACTTAATGTAGAAAATGTGAGAATCTCGGTTAATGTTGTCAAGAATGCATTTGCATTTTTTTTTTCCGAGAGGCTATGCTTCCCAAAAGGCTTCTAGCCTAGCGGTATCAGGTGGTACCCTCTCTCTTTGAGGTCGAGGGTTCAAGTCCCATCCTAGATATAAGTGAAATTAAGTGTTAGCTTAAGAGTAGATTACATTTGCCGGTTCACAAAAAAAATTCGAAAGATCGGTCTTCCATGTTACTTTTGTTTCCAATCAATTTGATTTGATAATAATATTCTTGTTTACACAGTCTCTTACCTCTTCTAGTCATCCAATCAATATGCAATATGGTCAAATGTTTAGCGTTTGGTTATGTCATATACTAATATTCCCCTATTGCACCACAATAGTATGAAATATGAACTTGTTGATGCACTAAACTCGTTTAAAATCGAAAGATTATATCCCAGGGAAATTGTTACAGAAGGATAAAATAGTACGATTGGGGTTCACTTTCAATCTTTCAACAATTGGTAAAATTTGCCACTCAACTTTCTAATTTTTTATTTAACCCAAGATGATTTTCTAGTTAACATCCCTCGTCTTGTAACTTATATTTTGACCACATATCCTTACAATTTAAGTCCAAATCTAATAAAATAGATTAAGTCATAAGTATTACCTTAAGTTTCCATGGTAAGTCAACTCCAAATCTCTAAGGTTTTTACTTTAATTCTAGCATATCTGTTAGTTAAAATTTCAGTGTACTTACTTCAAATGAACTAAATTCATAATTGTAATCAATTATTATTTAGTTTAATTTATTTGATAAAAATCACACTTCATAATTAAAACCTCTAGCTCCTAGATAATGGATGTTACATGAACAAGGCGGATGCCAAACAAATAACAAAAAGAACAAGCCATCGATCAAAGATTCCGATGCACAAGACACTAGATGACAAATGAGAGCAAATAAATATATGATAATGATAATAAAAGAACTTATTTAAAAGATTCAATAGGAGGAATACTGAAAACTTTAAACTAGATCTTAATGATGAAAAATATTACAAAACTAGCTAAAAGACTAAATTTATAATTTTAAACAAACCAAAACTTCAATCTAAGTTATGAAAATAGACATATAATAAATGAGGTTTTTTTCCCACTGCCTCTCTAAAAACAAATGGGGAAAAATGCCAAAATGAAAATGTGTTCTTTTGTTACCCATTAAATAATAGTGGTTATGAAGCCGACCACAATGCCACATCGCACCAAACTCGTACTCACTCTTAACTTCGTAGATACCAATTTTCCTTTTTCAATTTCTTTGTTATAAAATAATTTATATAAAAGATTTTCCCCACCTTCAATTAAAATATATGCCCATTTTATTAATTTCGTCAATCATCATTATTGATTGGAACTTAATAGTGGAGATTGAGGCCCTGAGGGTGACAAAACACGTAGTCACAAACCATAAAACCTGATCAAATAAATACAAAGTCTAATTCATACAAATATAAACAAACATTCAAATTAATATATAAATTAATTTGGGCTACAAATCTTTACATATACCACACCCATGTTTCCTCAAAAGTGTAGAATCATCTAAAAAACAAATAATGGTTAGTTAGGTATGGATATTTCTTTTGCTTTCCTGAATTTTATATAATAACTAACACGTTAAATAATATTTACAATAACAAGATTATAATAACCATCTAAATTTTAATTGATAAAATTTCAAAAATAGTCCCTATGGTTTCTAAAAAATAGTAAAGTGAAGCTAACTTTAATAAACGCTTCATAAATGCAATCGTCAAGACTTACTTTTTTTTTTCTTTTCTTTTTTTTAATAACCACTATTTCCTAGTTAAAATTTGAGAATGGTCGTTGTGGGTTTTAAAAAATTGCAAGTTTCATTTTTTAACTAACACCACAATCATCCGCTTTCAGCTACTCTTATCACCAACATTGTTTTCAATATGCAATAGCAACACTTTCAACAACCAAAACTAGCACTGCCATCATTAGCCACACACTACCACCACCACCACCATTACCTCCTTTAAGTAACACAACCACCGCCAACCACTATCACCACGACCATTACTGCCTTCAGCCACTACCACCGTCACCTCCTTCAGCCTTTGCCATCACCACGATTATCACCTTCAACATACACCAACACCACCTTTAGCAATCGTCAATCAACGAATTTAGTCACAATCACTGCCTTTTAACTATCAATATCACCACCATCATCGCCTTCAACATGCATCAACACCAACTTTAACAACCACAATCACCATTGCCACCTTCATCCTGAACAACCACAACCACTTCATACCACCACTGTCATCATCACCTTTATCCACCACTACCACCACTTCCTTCAGCCATTATCGCCAACACCACCACCTTCAACCACCATTCATAAGGAGAGAAGAGAATGTTTAAAAAGGACTAAACTTTTCTATAAGGGCTAAACTTTTCATTTCATGTATATTTAACCAAAATTTACTAACAGAATGTTTAAAAAGGACTTAAAGTTGAGTATGTGTTGACTTTTATATAAGGGCTAAACTTTTCATTTCATATATATTTAACCAAAATTTACTAACAGAATGTTTAAAAAGGACTTAAAGTTGCAACTTTTTGCTACCATAGGTCTATTTTGAAGCGTTTTTAAAAGTTATCCTTACCTTGCCATTTTTCTAAAACCACATGGACCAATTTTGAAATTTCATATTTTTAATATTTAAAGATTTTGTCCAACAGATAGACGGTATCTCTTGTCATGGTGCGTTAGTTCCAACGCCGTGACAAACCCAACACCACCAGCATCTCCTCAATTCCAGATTCTTTTTCTCTAATTTAAAGCTTCAAACCCCACTCAATTCTCTATCTTTTTCGGATAGAGAATACAAAAGAGGGGTGGTTTTGTGCATGTTAACTTGTTAAGTTAGTTACATGGCTACTTCATCTACCTCTTCTACCTCTTCTCTGTGGTTTCCGGCCACTTCTACTGCCGGAACCCGTAATTCTTTTCCCAATACTGATACATTCTTACGATGTCGCCGGAGCCGTCAATTGACCCGATTGAAGACTCACAAGTCGGTTGTTCGGTCGGATTTGGACAGAGATGTATCAGACATGAGAACTAATGGTAATTTTGGATAAATTTGTGATGTATGTCTGTTTTAAGTGTTCTTTGTTTTGATTAGTAGCAGTAATACTAGTCTGGATTTGTGCTTTTGGAATTTAGGCTCTAATTTAGTCTCTAATAGTAGCTAATTCTGTTGATTTCTTCCGTAATTACTTACGAAATTCAATTACGACATACAGTTTGTTACAGATTTTCATACAGTATTTGTTAGAAAGTTTAATATTGTTAGAGCTGAGTTTTCCGACCCCCATATCTGACGTATCTGTTGTATTTCCTTTTAGAACTGAGGGAGTATGATTGTTTTTTTTATTCACTGATATTGGACAGATTTTCAACAATCTGATCACCTGATGATCATTGGTATGTTGTTTAGGAAAGTTTCATATGCTCATTTTTTATTACACTCCTCAATCCTGTTATCTTGTACAGACTTCAAATTGGGAAGAAATTTTTGGAGTTTATGGGCGGCAAGTCCAAGTTCTGTTGACTTTTCTTCTAACAAATTTCGGCTCAAAATTCTTACACCTATTCCTAAATTTCGACAAATGCATAGAATCAATGGGCAATGATATTACAACAGTGACTATATATGCATGAACTTTCATGTCTACTTTATTTTACACATTAATTTTGACTTTTTAGAACTACTGGGATAAAACTATGAGAGTGCCTAATGTACATGCATAAGCATCTGTAATGGTTACTTTATTTCTTCATCTTCTTTCTTTAGAAACATGAAATGGCATTGATTTCATCTTTCTTTGTTGTATTTCTATATTATCAGCTCCAAAAGGATTATTTCCACCGGAACCTGAACATTATCGGGGGCCCAAATTGAAAGTGGCTATCATAGGTGCTGGCCTTGCTGGCATGTCAACTGCAGTGGAACTTTTGGATCAAGGGCATGAGGTTTTTACAAAAATTACATACTTACCCCTCTACACATTGCTCACTTTCCTTCTTATTCTCACCATACTTGAACTTCTCTTAAATCTTACAGGTGGATATATACGAGTCAAGGACTTTCATTGGTGGAAAAGTGGGTTCATTTGTTGATAAACGTGGAAACCACATTGAAATGGGACTACATGTGTTCTTTGGATGCTACAATAATCTTTTTCGTCTTCTGAAAAAGGTTAAACACTTTGTTTTACTCTAGTGATTGATCATTTTCAGATTCTGAAATCAAAAAATGAATGTAATGATTATCTGATAAGTTTTCTTGGCTTTGTATGTAACTTAGGTTGGTGCTGAAAAGAATCTCCTTGTCAAAGATCACACTCACACTTTTGTAAACAGAGGAGGAGAACTCGGTGGTAATTTTTGAATCTTATTTCACAAAATCTTGAAAATTAACATATTTTTGTTACATAATATAATCAAATACTTTTATATACTGACTACAGAACTTGATTTCCGCTTCCCTGTTGGAGCACCATTACATGGAATTAACGCATTTTTAACCACAAATCAGCTTAATGTAAGACCTAAATACCCTTTTAATTATAATGCTCCTTCATTAAACATTCTCTCATCTTTTATATTATTATGCAGACATATGATAAAGCAAGAAATGCTTTGGCTCTTGCTCTAAGTCCAGTTGTGAGGGCTCTTGTTGACCCTGATGGAGCAATGACACAAATAAGAAACCTTGATAATGTAAGAACTAAGAACTTTTTGTAAAAAGTCAAATGCTTTCATTTCCTTTTTTTTGACTTTCTTGACCTTTATTTATTTATTTATTTATAGGTTAGCTTCTCTGAATGGTTTATGTCTAAAGGGGGGACACGTAAGAGTATTCAGAGAATGTGGGACCCGGTTGCTTATGCTCTTGGATTTATTGATTGTGATAATATCAGTGCACGTTGTATGCTCACAATTTTCTCATTGTTTGCAACCAAGACAGAGGCTTCCTTGTTGCGTATGCTTAAGGGATCCCCTGATGTGTATCTTAGTGGGCCCATCAGAGATTATATTATAGAAAAAGGAGGAAGGTATGATTAAATAAAGTTACTTAATTTAATTTCAACACAAATCATCCATCAAAAGAATAATACAAAAAGTTATTTCCCACTATAAATGTAAATCACTTTATCATCTGGTCTTAGGGCTTTGTTTCCTTGTTCCCCATATGGATAAAGAGCTGGATACATAAAAGTTGTTTCCTTTTTTTTTTGTCTGAATAGACCATATTACCCTTGCACTCCATTTCAGGTTTCATTTGAGATGGGGATGCAGAGAGATTTTGTATGACAAGTCAGCTAATGGTGACACATATGTTACAGGGCTTGCCATGTCTAAGGTACATTCTTTTTCTTTAGTATTTTTAGATTTAGGGGTTTTGTGTTTTTTTTATTATTATTTATATTTAGTTATTTACAATTAATATGTGCAATCTGGCATGATACTAGTGGATCAAGATTTAGTGGATGATAGCAGTAGCACCATTATTATTAAATTCATTAATGAGAATGAGACTAATCAAGAAAGTATTTTAATGAAATAAAACAAAGTGATGTTGACTTTACTTCCACTTTATAAGTCCTCTTTTTAGTGTTACTTCCATAAGAACCATTTTTAAATTTACTTCAGTTTACATTTTCTAACCATTAAATTAAAAAAATCCCTATTATTTATTGTATTGTGAATTGTCTTTGTGTTTTCCAGGCTACTCAAAAGAAAACAGTAAAGGCAGATGTATATATAGCAGGTTTGTATCTATTTATATTATGTTTATATCCAACAAATATAATACATATAATAATTAAAAAATTTCCATGAAAAATGCAGCATGTGATGTCCCTGGAATTAAAAGATTATTGCCTTCAAATTGGAGGGAATGGGAATTCTTTGATAATATCTACAAATTAGTTGGTGTTCCAGTTGTAACAGTACAACTTAGATATAACGGTTGGGTAACAGAAATGCAGGATCTAGAACGTTCTAGGTGACCTGGAATTTCTTTTTATTTATTTATTTTTTTTTATCGTTTTATACATATAAAAACTAAGTTATTACTTTTGATATGTAGGCAATCGAGGAAAGCAACAGGGTTGGACAATCTACTTTACACCCCAGATGCAGATTTTTCCTGTTTTGCTGACCTGGCACTCGCTTCTCCTGAAGATTACTACATTGAAGGACAAGGCTCATTGCTCCAGTAAGGATTGGAATCAGTCATTCCCATTCCTTCCTTCAATTCCATTCCTTCTCACTCTTTTGCTATGCAGATGTGTGCTGACTCCAGGGGACCCATACATGCCTTTACCAAATGAAGAGATTATAAGCCGTGTTGAAAAACAGGTAAACACCACGTTTTATAAAACATTTTTATTAACTATTAATTTTATAATTTTCTTAAATCATGTATTAGGTTTTGGCTCTATTCCCATCTTCCCAAGGTCTGGAAGTTACATGGTCATCTGTGGTCAAGATTGGTCAATCTTTGTATCGAGAGGGACCCGGTAAAGATCCATTTAGGCCTGATCAGAAGACACCTGTCAAGAATTTCTTCCTAGCTGGCTCATATACAAAACAGGTGTTCACCATTTTCTTTTAATCATTTTTTTATATGAATAGTCAACAGTTTAGTTGTGAAAGTCAAAGTTTGGAGGAGGGTTGACCGGTATTGTTGACTTGATTCAGGATTATATAGACAGTATGGAAGGGGCGACTTTATCAGGGAGGCAAGCTTCTGCATTTGTGTGTGATGCTGGGGAAGAACTTGCAGCCTTAAGGAAACAACTTGCTGCCATTGAAGCCATGGACACCATTGCAGCTGATGAGCTTACTCTTGTTTGATTATAATATATCATAATATATATATGGTTCTTGTATAAGTGATTGAAAGGATGTAAGAAAATACAGTGATAATTTTTAATTTTTAATTTCAAAAACTAAGGATTTATTAAGGTTTTATTAGTTTCTTATACTTTTAGTTTAGGTAGATAAATGATTTTGATTAGATTCTCGTATAATATAGAACGTTATGATATTTGATCAATAACTTGTGTATTTAATATAATCACGTGTGATATGAACAATTGAACATCCTCAATCACCACTCCATTTATATTTTCGTTCATCTCAATCAACATCTGTCATATTTCAATGTCGACTAAATTTTCAAAAGGGTGACATTGTGTATACTTAAATAGCGACATGCATATGCCATTTGTGAATAATTTGAGTAATAGTAGGTACATTTTCAATTACAGGGAGAAAGCCTTTTAGCTGGTTGGAAGATAATGAATTTAATGAAATTGTCATAATTAATACTACTCTATGAAATATAGTTTTCGTGGACGATAGAAGCTTCACCGGGGATAGTGTGATCACGATCCATGTGATCATGTCTGAATTTGGATATGGATTCGAAATTGGATACTATGGGTCGCCACCTTTAAATTCACATTGCCTAGTAAACCTTATTAGTAACTTAGTTGCTATGCCTACTAGCATCATCTTTCAAGGTATGACGTTGAGAATGATATGATTAGTGTCACAATTATGTTTATGTTTATGAGACCAAATTGTATAAAAGTCATTTATTTCTCAATTTTGACATCCAAAATGTGAAGTCATAAAATAGTGACATGTCATGTCATTTCATCAGTGAGCGAGAAGTCGGAAACTAGGAAAATAGTCAACACTGAAAAACACAATGTTTGAATTGAAAAAAAATAACAATGTTAAAATCGAAAAAGTAAAAGCTAGTGTTAACACCTATAAATAACAAGTAAAATAAGTAAAAACTCTAAAACTAGAACATAAGATATCTTAGTGCCAAAGATAATAACTATTTATATGGACGAAAGCCCGTATTAAAACTATATCTTTTTGTATTTCCGATAATTTCAGATTGGATTTCTAGATGTTCAGATCGGATTGTTGGATTCAAAATTTTGAATGCTCCTATCACCTGTCAATAACACTCTATTCATGAAGACAAGTTGTTTAACCAATACCTTAGGATATATGGAGCTCTACATCCTTATGTCATATATAAAGTACCAAGCTCTCAAATTAGATACTACTTAACTGAATGACACAAGGCTACCTCATGTAAAGATCTATGATGAGACCACATATCTTGGTGCATGTTAAGATGTACGAAACTTATATGGAGTCCTTCAAGTTGGATCAACGATTCTGATGTATGTATGTCAAAAACACACTAAAGAGATCCTTTCGATTCTAGATAAAATTCCTAGCCCCTAATAGCATTAGAGGTAGGACAAATATAAGAAGGGGATTCGATCCCCAATTACATTTTCAGATTCAACAAAGTTTGTCAATGTAGTAAACTAATTGAAAAGAATGCTGAAGCTAGATAAGAGCTTATCGAATAGGTAAATCGATACATAAAAAAAGATGACATCAATGAGAAATACAATTCGTACAAACTAAAATCCTATCAAGCATCTCGAACCTCGGATGGTTGGACTCCAAATCAAGAATTCCATCCCAAATACCACCAAAACAACAACAATGTGTTGAAATTTCATTCCCTACCTTGGTATTGACTTCACTGGCCTTAACAAAGCATGTCCTTGTTTAGAAGTTAGACACATTACACATGTGTAATGACTTTACTGACCTTAACAAAGCATGTCACAAATATTTCGACATATTCTTCCCTCAATTGACCGGTTAAGATGGAAGTGTTTTTAGATGCATAAAAGATGAATACTGTAAAAGATGAATAAAACATCATTACTCTGCATAGACCAAGGTGTGGCAACCGCCAAATTCCTAGTAGAGTCAAAGTCAAACAAAGTCAACGGGTCAAACTGGTCAACTCAAATATTGCTTACATGTTAGGACTTACTCTATGGTTACTAATGTACGACTTAAAAATCCTAACGCAAAGTATCACTTGTAAGTTTAAAATGTTTAGAAATGCTAAACCCTAATCAGATTGAGGGATGTAACGACACTATAAAACACTATTACGTGCCCTTTGGGGGTGTATAACACTCAAATTAGGTTATAATGAAGTCAACGGTCCTTGCACTATGAAGAAAAACGCTAAGAAAGGTCCCAACAAAGTCTCTCAAATCTCTCCATGAATATCAAATCTCTTTATGAATCTTCCTTGGTCGAAAACAGCTCAAAACCGAAGGAGAAAATCCAAAAGGACCCTCTTGGTCGGGAACCCTTTTGGGCCGGAACCCCTCCCTGCTTCGGAGCTTCTCATGGATTCTGGAATACCCTTGCTCACTTCGGAACACCTTCACTCCGGAAGGTTTCGCTTCGGAATCACCCTCGTTCGGATCCTTCGGTTCTGCTTTGGAAGATCTCGCCTCGTTTCGGAATTGCTAGTTGGCTTCGCACCTCCGGTCCGGACCCGCATACTTCGCATCAGACTTCGGATCCGAGAAAATGCTCCGGAATTGAGTAAATGACTCCGGATTTTGCTAAATGACTCCGGAAACCTCCCTAATACCCTTCGGACCCTCGCAGATTCCGGACCACACTCCGAATTTTTGTCTATTTCAGAACTTTCTTCATTTTTAGGAACTTTGACGTAGGAAACCTCACCAAACTCGTACTCTTCATAACTTAAACCCCCTAAACCCATATTTTATGTCAAATCTGAACGTTTAAAACTTATTCACATAAAATAATACTTAAGATATATAAAGATATCAACTGTAGGTCATGATGAGAATAAGATAGGGATAATAGGGTTTGACTTTGTGATTTGATGTAACCTTCCATTTCCCATGCAATTCACAGTAACCCACACAATACCCACCAATTAACAAGGCTTGACCCTTTAGGTTGCCATGCACACTTTTTCCACCCCCTTTTTCTTTCATCCCTTAAAAGCAACGACAGTGAGAGAAATTTGAGCTCCACCATCTCTCTCATTTCTCTCACACTTTCACTAATACTCGTCTCAAAGAGCAAGAACAAGGATCTTGTTAAAGGCTAAATTTCTCAAGTTATTCTTAGAGTTTTAAGACAACATTCCTCCCAAGGAAATTCCTCCACTCACCCAAGAGTATAGGCTTGAGATCTTCACTCCATCACTCCAATCAAATCAAGGTGAGCTTTATACCCCTACTTTTTCGAGATTTTTATTGTTTTTGGGGGAGAATGCAAGTTAAAACCCTTGTTTTAAACCTTGATTTAGTTGCTTATTATGCGTGTATGGTAAGTTATGTATATTAAAATCATGAAGACTCCTAGAACTTGAAAATTTAGCAAACCTCGAGAGTTGAAGCTTATTTCACAACTTATGTATGAGAAACAAGAAATACAAGCTACAAATTTCTATGACAAAAATCCTAAGTATTTACGTCAAAAGAGTTTAAAAGAGTATCTTAGAGAGAATCGACCACTTTCAACATATCACATAGATTTGGGCCACTTTTTTTAACAAAAATGGGTCTTATTTGTTAAATTATAAATTGAAGTACCATTTTGCAGTCTTTTTAGACAAGCCTGATTTACAAAGAATATTTTCTAAATAAAAACTAAATATCTAGTCAACAAGTACATCATTTCTATTTATGAAATAAATAATGGATCACAACGATTTGCTCCAAAGTCTGTTAGTATTCTAGTCAGACGAATCAAGTACTTATATATATATATATATATATATATATATATATATATATATATATATATATATATATATATATATAATAGTGTACGCTCAAAGTCCTGTAAGAGTTATAACCAGAGTCTCCTAGAGGGGGAGCGAGAATTTGTGTATAGATCTATACGGGGTTGACACCCCGCACATTCGTTGTTCACTACAGCTAGACCTGCCAGTCTAGGGTGACAAATGTCTTAAACAAAACCGACGTCTGAAGAACATCAGAAACATGCACTCTGTCATATTAGTGTGGTTATAACGACTCACTAAGAATATAACAGTATGTTTTCGAAAACTACTCAAGTTACACTTTTCGATTTTAGACAACGATTGTTTTGAGTACTGTAAACAAATCTTTTATCACACCAATCTTAGAGATTTAATACCACCAACTTAATCATCGTAAAATATAGGATTTTTTGGGGAAAACAATTTTATACGATTTTTTAAAATGATAAACTAAATCACACATGCATCTATACCCGATTAGAATCGAAAACTTACAACCAACTGATAAGAAAATATGGGATTTTCTGGTTTTACCAACTACCACAGATTTCATACAAAATGCTTGTGAACTCACTAACATATTTTATGTTGATGCTTTTCAAATGACTTGTATTATCAGGAAATTAATAAGCAGGTCAGTGATGTGGGGATTCAAGATTATTTTGTCGTAATTTGGAATTCATTCAATGTTGTCTCTTTTGTGTATTTCAAGAACATTAACAAATTGTAAAAACAATGTAAGAATGATGTATGGTGTTTGGATTTGCTATGTTTCATTTATATTCAATTGTTATGATACACCACAATGTAGTCACCCGCCTCCGGACGCTTCCGTCGTCCTGGTTGGGGGTGTGACACAAGGTCCCCAATATTATACAAAAATGATATTTAGTTTGATAAACACAAGTGTCACCTAGAAACACTTAGTTGGAAAGATATCTAAACCAAAATTGGACAAAACATAGGGGTATATTATAATGTCCCAAATTTCAAACCAAAATTTTCATTTAAAATTTAAAAGCATTTATTCTAATTAGAACTTCAAAGATCCAAATAAAAAAGTTTGATTCAAAACATTTATCATGGTATAGACATAAGAGTTATTAAATGCAGAAATCTCCAATAGATGCGATGCAATCAGGCCGTGCCTTCCTTCAATATAAGAAATCTGAAATAATTTAAACTTAAAACTGTAAACATAAAGTTTAGCGAGTTCCCATAAATACCACATACCATACACAATAGTGGGCCCCTCCCTAGGTATATGTTTCAACTCATGTGAATGTTATGGTTCACCCATAGTCTTACAATCACTTTCAACCTATTTCAACCAACGGGTATGTTTTAACTCATGTGAATGTTATGGTCCCCACATAATCTTATAATCACTTTTGTTGCTACAGTCCCCCCTGCAGTCTTTCCTATCGAGGTCCCCCATTCATGTAATTGCCATGGTCTTTCATATAATTGTAATGGTCCCCCATGGTCCTCCTCATGTTCTTTTATACAAGAGTCGCAAAGACAATCTAGCATCCTACATGGTATAATAAGAAGACTCACGTTGACATATACACTTTAGACTTTGGCCACCACAAATAAAGACTTTGTCAATTTTCATCCCTATCACTCTTCTTCTATCAATCAATTGACATTAATAATTAAATGCACTCATTTGCAAATACAATGAATATAATGCAATCCATTTTTTTGAAACTAAAGACTTACATTATTCGGTAAACTATCATAAGCAAATTAAAAAAAATTAAAGAAAAAGTAAAGGGGTTGTTGTGAGTGGCTCGACTCACCTGCCTAGGTCACTTTCCCTTCTATGTTTCTTTTCATTTTACATTTTTTTAAATAAACTTTGTTTTAAAAAAAGATAGATCAGAACCGACCTCTATGGCCCTGTTAATTGAGATAAATTAAAAGCAATAAAAATCTTATTCTTTATTGGTGGAAGGATCCCATTCGTGTTCTACAACCGCATTTTGTTTTCTAGTTCCGACAGAATTGGAATCCAAGATTCCGTTCAATCGTTGAATTATTTGAAAAAAGTCAAAAATTTTACTTAAAAAGACATAATCTTTTTTCTTAAAAAATAGAAAAAAAATACATAAATTAGAGGGGATAATGATTTAACTAAAACATATAAATTAATTGATAGATAAATTGGACACCAATCTTATTCTTATTGGCTTAAAATGGAAGATGGATATTAAGTACAAAATAAATCTGAAAAACCTAAAGGGCCAAATTATTATTAAAAAAAAACCACACCAATGAAAACCTTTTATTGTTCGCAAAAAGGTAACCCAAAGTTAATATATATATATATATATATATATATATATATATATATATATATATATATATATATATATATATATATATATATATATATATATATATATATGGGATAGTTCTTGTAAAAACACCAATTATTGTGAGAATATGAGGACATTTTACAACCATTAGATTAATTAAATAGATGGTTAGGATAATTAAGTGTTTTCTATTTAAATAAAAAGGAAAAAAATGGAAAATACACAAATTAGCTTATAACGGGTTTTTGAGGGCATTTGGGTAAAAAACTAGGTTAAGTAAATTAGGAAAAATGTTTTCAGTTCGTATTTTTCGCCTGTGAATCCGTCTTCCATATCCGTACGCATCTTCCAAATTTTGTTGAAGATATTATCTCATTTCAACATTGAATGCGATTCTAGTAAACCTGATTCGATAGTTGAGTATAAAAATCGTTGATTGTTCAACATAGCACATAATGAGGATTCTTCGATCAAACTCAAAAATGAAGGGTAACAAGTTCAACAACACCTTTGAAGAAGCCATTAACCTTGATGACGACGATTTCGTGAACATTCATTCATGTATTGCTCATTGATGTTCAAATACAACTGTATATTAGTTTCTGTTTTGAATACGAAGACTGTTGGCTTTGTTTGTTAAATACAAATATAATATACGTAAAGTAGTTAAAAGTCTAGATACAAAATGTTTGTCGTTAGTTTCTTTGTTGACATTCACGTATTCCAATTTTTTTGTTGTTGATTTTTTTAGGGTTTTGTTGAAGATGACGACTGTTATACTTGTATGTTTGATGTTTTTTTTTTTTTGTCTTTTTAATAATGATATTATAATCGTAATACAATTAAGAATGTTGTTTTGGTTGTATCATGGAATCTAATTAGAAGAATTGCTAGTTTTTCAAGGGTCTTATATAGTATATAATAGGTAGTCTAATTTATTAACAATTTTTCATTGTCATATTTTGAAGGAGGTTCTAGTGTGGTGATACTTAGTAGGGAACCATTAGCAAAAAAAAAAAAGGTGAAATGTCATTTTGAAAAAGGTACTTTTTCTGTAAGTGATATTGTGTTAGATTTGTATGTGTTTGATTGCTTGATGTTTGTTTTTTATGTGTGGAATATTATATGATTAGCCACGTGTTTTCAATATTGAACACATTGTATAATACTTTAATATAAAGTATATATTAGTACTAAAATGTTCTGATCTGAATATATAGTATGTGTGAAAGTATGTTATGCTTCCACATGTATTCAATATTGAAAACATTATGTAAGAATTGAATACATCATATATTTCTTGGATTAAATATTTTGCATTTAATTTTTATTAACAATGTAATGGTTTGTGGTATTGTTTATTATTTCAAAATAAAAGTATTCTAAAAAGAATTAAGGATTGTTTATTAAATTATTCATATCATAATACATTATAATTTCACCCGTATGTTTTCCGGTTTATTGTATTATTTCAAAATATAATTTAATAGTTTAATTTTGTATTCAATACAGAATACATTACTTATGTAATGCTTGAATACAGAATACACAGTATGTGTAATAGTGTGCAATGCTTCCACATGGATTCAATATTAAAAATATTTTGATATTGAATACCTTATGTAATAATTCAATACATCATATATTTCTTGGATTAAATATATTTCTTGGATTAAATATTCTGCACTAAAAATATATAAAAAACAAATATGCATGATTTTTATTGGTGTACTATTATCCCAATCATGCATTGAATCTTGACATGACTAACATTATATGATTATTATGTTGTGTGTGTTAGTATGTAATATTTCGTAATATTATGTTAAGGTTTGATTTAGTATTCAATAAAGAACACATTACGTAATAATTCAATACGTCATATATTTCTTGGATTAAATATTCTGCTAATGAAAACATATAAAAAACAAATATGCATGATTCTTATTGGTGTAGTATTATCCCAAGCATGCATTGAATCTTGACATGACTAACAATATTTGGTTATTACATTATATGTGTTAGGATGTAATATATTTCATAATATTATGTTAGGGTTTGATTTAGTAGTCAATAAAGAAAACATTATGCATGCTATGTTTCTATATGTATTCAATAGTGAAAACATAATATACATCAGGACTTAAATATTCTTGAATGAATTTTGATATGAGTAACATTATTTATTCTCACTAGAATGGTTTGTGGTATTGTGTATTATTTAAAAATAATAGTATTCTATTAGTAACATATAAGCATTCTGTATGAAATTATTCAAATCGACAACAATATTATTTAGAGTAAATTACTAAAATTATCCCTATGTTTTGGTCAAAATTACACGTTTGGTCCCTAACTTTTTTTGCACTCGGATCGTCCCTGTGGTTTGATTTTGTTGCGTTTTTTGTCCCTATGGTTTGGTCAAAATTGCATGTTTGGTCCCTAACTTTATGTATGTAAGGGACGAAAAACGCAACAAAATCAAACCACAAAGACGATCCGAGTGCAAAAAAAAGGGACCAAACGTGCAATTTTGACCAAACCATATGGACGATTTCAGTAATTTACTCTATTATTTAACTAGTATGTTTTTGTGGTATTGTGTAGTATTTAAAAAAATCATTTTTAAGTTTGATGTAGTAGTCAATACATAATACATTATGTTGTTTATGCTTCATTACAATATACAATAGTGTACACACATATAATATTTTGGAATATTCAAAGCAGAAAACATTTAAAAAAATTATGCATGATTCTTAGCGGTGTAGTGTTATCCTGATCATGCGTATGTTATTTTGTGTTTGTTGTAGGTGAATCAAGTGTTAGTGTCAGTAAGAAAAACAAAAGGAAAGATGAACATTATGAAGATAGTGAAGTTGATCTTGATGTTAATGTAAGAGGAAGTGGTAGGAAAAAAACTAAAGTCATAAAAATGAAGTTTTAAAGGAAGCTGATAATAAGAAAGGAACGAAGAAAAGAAAATTTAAAAGAAAGAATGTAGTAGAAAATGAAGATGTAGCTGTTGAGGATGACACAACTAAAGAGTTGCAAAAAATAAGTTGTCGTGTGTCCCTAAAATCAATGTATATGGCGGTGAAGAGAATGTCATACAGTCAGAAAGAAATGGTGAGACAAATGGGTTTCGGTGCGTTCCTTGATATAAATTTGGATTCAATACCTTCTAGATTGGCTTACTACTTGGTGGACAAATTCAAAGCAAAAACATCGACGATTAAGACTAAGAAAGGGGAAATACTTATTACAAAGAAAACGCTTAAAGGGATGTTTGGTTTGCCAAGTGAAGGTTTAGACTACAACCAATTGGTGGAATGCGATAAAACAAATACAGTTATTGAAGCATGGAAAAGTCAGTATCCAGGAGGAAAGTTCAATAATGGAAACTATGTGAAGAGGATTCGACAATCGGATGTGGCGGATGACATGTTCAAGCTTAATTTCCTGACATTATTCATAAACACGTTTGTAGAGACAGAGATGAGTGGGGCAAGCCGTGTTAATTGTCTGTAGAAATTAGCAAGGTGTGAAGATATTCAAAAGATTGATTGGTGCAAGTATATAGTTGAATGTTTGGAGAAGGCAAAATACACATGGAGGCCAAATGATGCAAACTGTTGTTACACATGTCAAGTCACTCTCTTACTGGTAAGTAGTTGTTATTATGTGCATTTAGTTTTATATTATTTTTTAATTCTTTAATGAAATTAAGTAAATATAACTTATTAATTATGTTGTTACAGCTTACGTATGTGGACAAAGTAGTTTTGAATGGCTATAATCTCCGCATATCAAGGCCATTGATAAAACAGATTAACTAAGTGGATTTGGAAATGTTGGAGGAGCATGGATTGAGAATGGGAAAATTTGGAACATTGTAGTTTCGTGGAGATGGGGAAGTGGATCTTATGGATGTAAATGGTGATGAGGACAAGCTGGTAAGTTAATTTATTATTTATGTCATGTATTTTTGTAATAAATAATATTATACATAAGAAAAATGTGTAACTAGTTTTAATAACAATGACAGGTTGGGGTGGAATCAATTGAAATGCTATATTGTAGGATCTGTGATGATAAGAAAAAAAATTGAGGAAGCAATTAAGAAGGGGTTAGAAGATGACGCAAATGATGATGTGGTAAAAGAGTGGTCACGAAAGGTGCGCCAACTTTTTAATGAAAAGACTGTGGAACATGGAGATAATAGGTCGCCTACAAATGAAGCAACAATGAAAACGCCCGTTAAGGTTACAGTCAATTCTGATCAAACTAATTTTATGAAAGGAAGTAGTTTTGTGAAAGGAAGTAGTTTGATATGCAATGTTCAGTCTACTGGAAGGAATAACGAGAAGACAAAGGTTGTGGATGGGTGCGAATAACCTTTAGTACTCTTTCTGGAAGTAGTCTGATATGCAATGTTCAGTCTACTACACTGGGCCTTCAGTCGGTCTGGTCCACTCTCCGAGCCTCGGCACGTCTGGACTGCCCTCTTGTGGCCTTCAGCCTATCCGGACCGCTTGCTGGGCTTACGGTCTATTCGGTCCGCCTTGCGTATGTTGGCTAACAACACAAAGCAGGACCCGCCTCAACCCAACCACAGTCAACAACCATGTGCACATAAAACAATTAATCACATAACAATGCTCAGCCAAACAAACAGTTCAATCGGATCATACAACATAACAACATCCTAACCAGGATACCGATCTAACCAATCACTAACATAACATTTCCCTTCATACTAGGATACTGACCTTAACCAGGTCACTAACATAACATTACCCTTCATACCAGGATATCGACCTTACCCAGGTCACTAACATAACATTACCCTACATACCAGGATACCGACCTTAACCATGTCACTAACAATATACCATCCTAATAATGGGATGCAGATCTATTAACTCATAAACATATCAAACAAATACCCAGATTCCCATCCGATAAAGGGCCAACCTTGGTACCTTAGACCCTGTTGATATAATGAGGATAACTCACCTTGAACTTGCCGAGTTGGAGAGAGAGAATCAAAACTCCTGATCACCGCCACGAACACCACCACATGTTACTCCAATGAAATCATAACCATTAGAACCAAAATTACCAACATACCCTCGAAAGTCAAACTGGTCAAATTCAACCTTCCTGATTGACCCTACTCGCCGAGTCAACCCATTGACTCACCGAGTTCCTAACTCAGGAAACTCTTATATCACGACTCAACTCGCCGAGTCCCCCCACGACTCGTCGAGTTCAACAGTCTCCGAGTCCTATCCTGTCCAACTCACTATGTCACCACTCAACTCAATGATTTGAGTCTTAACCAGAAGAGGTTGGTGGTTTTGCGCTATGACTCGCCGAGTCCAAGAACAGACTCGTCGGGTCCACGGCAATCTTCATCAAACTCATCGAGTTGTTCTTCCAACTTGCCGAGTCCAAGCTCATCTTCATATGACTCGCCGAGTCCACCCATGCGATTCGCCGAGTCTCTTCAGTCCTCTATCCATACAGAGGCTTTTCGAGCCATGCAGGGGCTCCAAACAATAGATCTGGGTCCTTATAGTGCATTAGCAACATAAAGTTGCTACCTTTATGTGCTTTCATGTCCCAAAATTCAAAAACCAATCTAGAAAGGAACTTAACTCATGGGGGATGGCTTTTGCATAGCAATTCAAAGGGCTTTCTGCATATTGGATCCAAATAGAACACATATATAGAGTTTCAACTCCAGATCTAACTCATGCACCAAAATCACATCATATTATCCCCAAACAAATCCTAAACTCCATGAAAGACGGATCTAGAAAGGAGAAGGACAAGATAACGATTCATTACCTCCAAAACGACCTCCCACTAAAGAATAATCTGAATCTTCACAAATCTCCTTGATCCAAGCTTCTTGATCTTTGATATTTAGTTTTGTTTACTTCTTTTTATAGTTTATTTTATCATATTTCATTCATAATTTAGATAATTTCCATGCATATTTTCCTTTTTGTTATTTTATGACTATTTCGGGTACTTTCGAATCTTGTGAGCATAATTGCACGTTTTCGGGTCTAGTGGAGCGGGAGTGTTTGGGACGTATGGGAAGCGATGGGATTTGGTAGGCAAAAAGGATGTTAGGCTTGGTGATTGTGGAGATGATGCATGGAGCGAGCTTGATGATTATTGGAAGGCTTGGAGAGAAATAAACTTTAAATTTGCAATATGCGAAAGTTTATTCAAGCGTGCGTAGATTGTTAATCGGGAGAGTGCAGGAGTTTTGGAGGATTTGGAGAGGTCAAATTGGGCTTAAAATGAAGAAAAACTTGAAGAAAATGGGCTAGGAGGTGATTGGATTCGATCTGGGCCAAGTGGGCTAAGATATGGAGGCCCAAAACCTCAAAGATACTACATACAGGGACCACCCGCGCAACCCACCCGCACAACAGCACGCGGGTCGCGCAACCCCCTACAGGGGCATTTCCGGGAATTCATGTTTTAAGCTATTTGGGGAAGGTTGGTGCCTATATTTTGCACACTCTTGGACATTCGATTTTTGGAGATTCTCCCTGGAGTTTTGAAGACTTTTGAAGGCCAAGAACACTTGAAGAACATCATCTTTTTACCTCTTGATTCTTGCTTAATGTTTGGTACAATCTTCTCTAACTTTGTTTCTTTGAGTTTAGTCATGCTTGACTAAACTAATCTTGGTTGACTTTTGTTGAATCCTTTGCACTTTTGTTGAATGTTGAAGAGTCCATGAACTTGTTCTTAAATCTTTATGGAAATGTTTTGTGTTTTATCATATTATCACTACTAGTATGTTTTTATTCATAAGTTTAAATGTGTTTGTGGTGATTAGTTGGCTAGTTTCTTGATTAAGTAAAGGATCCTCAAATTAGCAAGCAACAGATGATTTTGTGTTGTTTTTGATTCACACAATCTTAAAAACATTTCCTCCAACATGGTGGTGAAAGCAATTGACCCCTCTTGGATTTGGTGACTTTTTGGTTCTTAATGCTAGTTGACTTTCACTAATTACATGCTTAATGGAAATTGTGACTTTGATTAAGGAAATTGTTATGAGCTTCTCTAACCATTTTAACAACTAAGAAAAGTCTAGGTAATCTCAAGCTTCTTGGATTACTATAGCCAAATTGAGGATTTAAAACAAGTATTGCACCATTGAATTCTAATGATATGTTCTTCAAAAGTCAAAGTGAGGAAACCTTAAGTCAACCATCCTTCTCTTATTGATTTTACATCAAACTCTTATTTTTGTTGCAATTGTCTATTTAAATCATAGTTAATTCTAATTTGTTTCAAGTATTTCAAAACATCAAAACCCCCATTTTCAATTTATTGTCATATTCCAAGTATTTTTACAAAGAGATCTTTCATAGAGTTATATATTGAACCAATCTCCATGGATTCGATCCCTTTACCACTATACACTATTTTAGTGTGTAATATTTAGGGTATTAATTTTGTTGGTCTCGACAACCACCAATCTTCAATATCTATTCACAAAATCACTTATCTAGGCTCCAAATTGCTTCCAATGACTCTCACTCACGATTTAGGGTTTCTAGATCTCAAAAGGGTAGTAAGGAGGCTGAGGGGAGGACATAAAGTCCTTTAAATAGGGTGCAAACCCAAAGATTAGGGTTTTCTCTTCTCAGCACCAACTCGTCGAGTCCAACTACCGACTCGACGAGTTGGTAACTTAACTAGCAACCAAATCCCGCTCCGACTCGACGAGTAACCTCACCTACTCGCCAAGTCCACCCTCCTAATAACACTTTACTCCCTTGAACTCTTGCTTCTGAACTTGGGATGTTACATTGAGGAAATGAGATCTAGACCCATTTGGATGTTGGTGACGTAATTTAGATGATATGACTGTTTTGTTTGTGTTTTGGAGGCATGGGGTATTTTGGTAAAGTTTCAGCTCGGGCTTTTATGGAAATCGGATTTTTATTCGGTAAATTTTAAGGCAAGTATGAGTTGATAAAAGCGTAGAGCTTATCGTTAGCTTTTCATGGATATACGAAGTGTCAAAATTGGAATTATAATGAAGATGTTATAGCCTTCGGAGGATTACAGGGTTTAATGATAACCTAGTACGCGGGGCGTACATAGGGAGTATGCTTGAGGCGTACACTGGTGTACACTTAGCGTACTAGGAGGGTTTAATCACCGATGTGAGGCCCCATACGTTGGGCGTACGAGGATTACGCGGGGCGTATGAGGGTTTAATGAAACCCTAGTTTTGAGATGTTGCACCATATTTAAGTTCGTTAATTACCAACCTCCGTACCTCCTAAACCCTAAATTTCGACCCTTATCCTCCATTGTTGTATCTTATAGATCTTGAGAATAAGTTGGTGCTTCTTTTTCTCATTTGGGAGGGATTGAAGAAGATTGAAGGTGCATTGTTTGGTGTGAACCTTAGAGATCCATAATCATCACTCATTTTGTAAGTCTTTTAAGGTATCAAGTTCATACCTTGTCTTCTACTTGATTAGATCTCTTCATGTCATGGTTTTTATGTTTTTGGGTCCCTTTTGGGTTAGTTTGATGAGTAAAGTTGGTTGTGGGGTTTATCCTATTAGATATGGGCTTATTATGAGTTTATTAAGCTTAAAGGTGAAAGTTTTATGGTGCTTATGGTCTCATGCATGCATTAAGTCATCTATTAAGTCGTTTTGATCTTTAAGAGTTTCATTAAGCCATGCATGCACGTAAAGTTTGCAACTTTACGTGATAAATCAGCCCACGGGAGTCAGATCTACGTTTTGGAGTGATGTTTAATCAATTAAGAGCTGGAAATGAAAGTTGGCTGATTGAGGGAGTACGTTGGGCGTACAAATAGGTACGCTTATCGTGCAAGCCCTAAGGTGACTATGTTGTGCGTACGATCTGAGTACGCCCCACGTACTCAGTAGGTTGGGCCTCGGTATAGTGGGTCTTCGGTTTGGGCCATTTTTGGACTTAGGTTCTTTGGGCCATCAGAATTCAAGTGTTTTGGGCTAAGAATGTTTTGGACCTTGGTTTAAGGCCCATGAAAGGGTTTGGGACCCATTTGTAAAATCATGCCATATTTGGGCCTTAGGTGTTTATTTGGAATTTAGGCCTTTAGATTGGTGGTTTGGGCCTATGCTTTTGGTCAGGTTGGGCAAAGGGTAAAAATGTCTTTTACCCTAGTTTGGACTTTTAGTGTGAGTCGGGACCCAATTATTAATTTTATGTTATTTTGGGTAATTGATAGCGCAGGATTTTTAGCAGATCTGCAGTCAGAGATTATCTGTGGGTTTCAGCTGTCTGAGGTGAGTTTTCTCATTATGTCCATGGGTCGAAGGCACCAATACCGACCCATTACTTATTATGT